TTAGGTTCCCTCCTTTCCTGTACTCTCATTTTTTTCATGACACTAGTCAAAATTGAACGTGCATTGAATGTTATTTTAAAATATTTTATAAGTGATGTAAAAGTAATATTTGATACCAATTTGTTGGAGTATTTGATGAATCTCGGATGAATTAAAGAAAATTAAATTTAGCATAGAAATTTAAGAGAAGAAAATTGTACTCTCAAAACTCAATTTTTATGATTTAAATTTTTTGTAATGTTGAAGTACTGTAAATGAGCAATCTTTTTATATTACATTTGATACATAAAAGTTAATTGTTAATACATAAATTTAAACACACGTTAAAATTTCAAGTACATGAATATAAATAAATTCATCTATAGTAACTATAGATTCATATAATTTAATATTCATCAACTGAAAATTCATTGAATATAGATTAACATGAATGTTAATTAATTGAGAATTAATAACACAAATTTCATAAATGACAATAATTATGTAGTATTTATTACATATCGAAAAATGAAATGTAAGGTATTATTGAAATAATTAAATTGTAGGGGAGTTAAAATCGTCCAAAAAATAATTCTTCCTTGATATGATGCTTTAATAGATTATAGATATAAATGGTTGAGAAATCCTAATCCCCGTCAACTTTTCTCGGAGAAACCTAGAAACTCACAAGGATGTGTGGATGTCTTTGTTAAAAAATAAGTGATAAAGTAGAAGAATTCTTTTTTGTAAAATTGCAGGAAAATCTATATTTTATTTATTTATTTATTTATTTTGTACATAAAAAGTCCTTTTTTTTAATTATTTTGTGAGGTAATTAGAATAATGGGTTGAGAAATATGATTAGATAATTATATCTACAATACTGGCAGAATGTGGAACACGTTGAAGAAGCACCGTTTAATATTCCAGTAAATATTCATATTAAGACATTATTAGTTTTTTAATAATGTTTTTTAAGACATTATTCATATTAAAACTTATTGGTTAAATGAAAGGAAACAGCACATAGAACTAACTTTATTAGTTGTAAAGTAAACCTTTTCTGGAATATTATACAGCGCTACTTCAATGTGTTCCATCTACAGTTCTTGCAATGTCAAGAGAATTTCAACAAGTTCGATTACCAAATTTTTATTATTATTTCTATTAATCATTTAGTCTAAAAATCTTATATGTATAATTACACAATTTTGTTGTCTGAAGCACGTTCGAGCCGAATTAATTTTATCTATATAATTTTCGTAAATAAAAGTCTTAAATCTTTTAAAGAAATTGCCTGTAAATATTGTGTGCAACAATTTCCCCACACAATCTAATTATACGTTGGAGCTGTAACTTAAAATTAGCCCCCGTTTGGCCCTCATTAATTTCCATTTCATTTTTCGCTCTTCTATTTTTAACCACACAATCTTTCATAAAATAATATTACACGTAAATCGAAAATTTTTTCTTCTTTTTCAATCATTCATTTTTCAAAAAAACAATATTCCATCCATTTTCATTACCACAAAATGGGCGTCAAACGTACACTTNCTTCTTTTTCAATCATTCATTTTTCAAAAAAACAATATTCCATCCATTTTCATTACCACAAAATGGGCGTCAAACGTACACTTACACCGACACCTGCAAGTCTAAATGTGTCAATACAATTACATTTTGACTTCTGGTGATAATTTAACTTTATTTATTGAAATAAAAGCATCTTTAGTTAGGTTTACCATCCAAAATTATTGAGAATGGTATATTTAACTATATCTTTTCGTTTCTATACAAATATATCAGAATAGGAAGCCAAACCACGTTCTTCAGCAACTCTGCATCATTTTCAAATCCCTGTGCTTATAAATTATATTTAGAAAACAGATTAGACCATGTTTTTCCTCAGTTTAATTAATTTATGGGTGTGGTTATAATGAATTGGATAGGGCCGCCTGCACTTCTTCTTCTTCCGCTGCTCTTCAACGTTGGAACATCACAGTCCATCATCAAGACTCTTCCAGGTTATTCGGGTAGTCTTCCCATCAAACTAGAAACAGGGTCAGTTCTTTCATTCTTTATTTCCGTAGTATTTAATACTATTTACAAACCGGTTATCAAACATGAATCAAATTCAAGAAACTGAATTCTTTGTAATTAATTATAGAATTTTTGTTTGAATGATTGTCTAGATACATTGGTGCGGGAGAAAATGATGAAACGCAGATATTCTACTATTTCATTGAGTCTGAAAATAATCCTAAAACAGACCCTCTTTTGCTTTGGATAACTGGTGGACCTGGTTGCTCTGGTTTATCCTCTCTCGTCTATGAAATAGGTAATCACTCTCTACAAATATGTGTATATAAGTTTTTGTGTCTAAATATGCACTAAGAGTAAGTATTATTTAGTTTTTCTAGGCTTAGCCAAACATGTTCTTAAAGAGGTATATGTTCATAACTGTAACTTTTGTCTTCGAGCACCTAATCCTTAATTATTTCCTTTTGCATATTAAGAATCTGTTTGGGAGTGATTTTCAGAATTGATTTTTTTACCGTTAGGAGAAAAGCGAGGTCTACCTGTGAGAGAAGAAGTCAAATATAATGATTGAAATAATGAAATAACGGTCAAAAAAATCAATGTTTTTGGGAAAAAAAT